TAAGAGTCGTGAAACTACAATCTTTGAGAAGAGATTTTGAGAATAGTAGAATAAAAGAGAATGAATCCTTAAATGATTTCTTCTCTATACTTATGAAAATTGTAAATCAAAAGAAAACATATGAAGACCAAATTTTGGACTCAAGAATTGTTGAGAAAATTTTGATTAGTTTGCTGGAGAAATATGATTCTATTGTTTCCGTCATTGAAGAAACCAAAGATATTTTTTCTTTGGGTGTTCAAGAATTATTGGATTCTATTAAAGCATTTGAGCAAAGGTTGAGTAAGCACGCCAAAAAATCTGTTGAGACTGCTTTTCAATCCAAGCTTAATGTTAACTCCAAAAGTCATGAATCGTCGAGTTCCAATCAATCTAAAGATGAATCTTTTAGAGGGCAAGATTTGGAATAGGAAGAGGAAGTGGAAAAAATTCAAGAGGAAGAGGAAGAGGAAATTTTGAAAGAAGATCAAATGAAGAATCCACTCAACAAAAATGTGGAATTTGTAAAAGATCAAGTCATATTGATAAAGATTGTTAGTTTCATGTTGACAAAAATGTTTTAATTGCAAAAAGTTTGGTCATTTGTGAAAAGATTTTCGGTTCAAGAATAATCAACAAGCTAATTTTTCTGAAGAGCAAGAAAGTAGTGGAAACATGTTCTATGTTTGTCAAGCAATGTCTGAGCAAATGAATGATGTATGGTATATTGATAGTGGTTATAGTAACCATATGACCGGTGATGATAATATTTGTGTGAACATGGACACCACTTCTAATTCTCAAGTAAGGATGGGAAATGGTGTCATGGTTCAAGCAAAAGGCAAGGGAACTATTGCTATTGAAACAAAGAAAGGAACAAAATACATCCAAGATATTTTGTTAGTACCGGACTTGTAACAAAATTTGTTGAGTGTTGGTCAACTTGTAGAGTATGGGTACTCCATAGTGTTTGAGGACAACTCTTGCATGATCTATGATTGTGGGGAGAAAAAACAATTTATAGCGAAAATTGAAATGGAGAAAAACAGAAATTTTTCTCTCATTTTTTGGTATTCAAAAAATGTTTCTTTGAAGATGGAAGTTGTTGATGATTGTTGGCCTGGGCATAGAAGATTTGGGCTGGGCACTTGAACTTTTAAAGTTTGAAGATCCTACAACAAAAGAACATGGTTTATAGACTGCCATTTATACAAGAAATTAAAGAAGTTTGTGAAGGATGTGCATTTGGAAAGCATCATTGAGATCTTTTTCCAAAAGAAAAACTTTGGAGAGCCAAATCATCATTGGAGCTTGTTCACACTGATGTATGGGGACCATCAAGAACACTTTTTCATGGAGGTAACAAATACTTCATAATCTTTGTTGATGATTTTTCACGAATGATTTGGGTTTATTTTATGAGACAAAAATTTGAAGTTTTTCAAGTATTTAAGAAGTTCCAAAAATTTGTTAAAAGACAAAGTGGATACTACATTAAGTTGTTAAGAAGTGATAGAGGTGATGAGTACAACTTTAATGAATTTAATAAGTTTTGTGAAGGCATTGGTATGAAAAGACAATTGACGATTGGGTATACTCCACAACAAAATGAAGTGGCAGAAAGAAAGAATAGAACCATTGTTGAGATGACTAAATCGATGGTTTATGAGAAGGGTTTACTTAAATCATTTTGGGCTAAAACGGTATACACCGCGGTTTACTTGAGGAATAGATGTCCAACAAAAGCTTTGAAAAATCAAACTCCAATTGAAGCTTGATGTGGAAGGAAGCCGTCGGTGAATCACTTAAAGGTTTTTGGGTACATTTGTTTTGCACATGTTCCTAAAGAAATGAGGTGCAAGTTTGATGAAAGTAGTGAAAAATGTATTTTTGTGGGTTATAGCTCTAAATCAAAGGGTTATAGAGTCTTAAGTTTGAAGAGAAACAAAATAATTATTTGTAGAGATGTTATCTTTAATGAGGACTCTTGGAATTGGAAAGAAAAGAATGTTCAAAATCAAGTGATTGTAACAAATGAAAATTATGGAAGCTTTGAGGTTGAAAATGAAAATGAAGAAGTTGAAGTTCCACCACAAATGTCTCCAACACCCAACTCTCCTTCATCTCCATCTACTTCTTTAAGTTCAAGCACTTTATCTCCAAGTTAAACTCCAAGAAAAATGAGAAGTCTTAGTGATGTGTATGCTAGGTGTAATTTTTGTATGATTGAACCCGAAATTTTTGAAGAAGTAATCAAAGAAGATGCTTGGAAGAAAGCAATGAAATATGAAATTCGTGTGATTGAGAAAAATAGCACTTAGGAGTTGGTGGAAAAACCAGAGAATAAAGAGGTCATTGGGGTGAAGTGGATTTACAAAACGAAGCTTAATCCGGATGGTTCAATTCAAAAGAATAAAGCAAGGTTTGTAGCAAAGGGGTATTCACAACAACCCGATGTCAATTACCAAGAGACTTTTCCTCCGGTTGCTCGACCTGATACAATAAGACTTCTTATTGCTCTTGCTTCACAAAGGAGCTGGTTTCTTCATCAATTAGATGTAAAATCAGTGTTCTTGAATGGTATGTTAAAAGAAAAAGTTTATGTAGAGCAACCTCAAGGTTTTGCGGTTAACGGTGAAGAAGGAAAAGTGTACAAGCTAAAAAAGGCATTGTACGGGCTGAAACAAGCACCTCGAGCATGGTATAGTGAGATTGATTTCTATTTCAATGCAAAAGGATTTCAAAGGAGTAAAAGTGAGCCAACATTGTACATCAAAATGCAAGGTTATACCGGTATTCTCAGTGGGTCTCTTTATGTTGATGATTTGATTTTTATCGGGAATGATCAATTAATGATTGAAGATTTTAAAAGTGAGATGATGAAAAGATATGAAATGAGTGACTTGGGACTTCTACATTATTTCTTGGGCATTGAAATTTATCAACAAGAAGATGGAGTTTTTATTTGCCAAAGGAAGTATGCAAAAACTCTTATTGAAAAATTTAGAATGAGAAATTTCAAATCAGTGACTACACCTTTGGTTGTGAATGAAAAGTTGTTAAAAGATAATGGAGCTAAAGAAGTTGAAACATCTTTTTATAGAAGCTTGGTTGGAAGTCTTTTGTACTTGACAGCAACAAGGTCGGACATCATGTATGCTACAAGTTTGTTATCTCGGTTTATGCACAAATCAAGCCAAATTCATTATGGGACAGCAAAGAGAGTGTTGAGATATATTCAAGGAACACTTGATTTTGGGATTATATTTGAAAGGAAAGTTGATGTCAAGTTACTTGAATTTTGTGATAGTGATTGGGTCGGAAACATTGACGATATAAGAAGCACTTTGGGTTATGTATTTTCACTTGGTTCTAGTGTAATTTCATGGGTGTCAAAGAAGCAACAAAGTGTGGCACAATCATTAGTTGAAGTTGAATATATTTCAGCATCATTGGCTACCTCTCAAGCAATTTGATTGAGAAGAATCATGGAAGATATTGGTGAAAAGCAAGATGAAGCAACTCCAATTTTGTGCGATAATAAATCAACTATTGTCATGACAAAGAATCTCGTCTATCATAGGCGAACAAAGCACGTTGCAATCAAGTATCATTTTATTCCAGAAGCCGTGGAAGATGAAGAGATTCAAGTCAAATATTGCAAGACCGAAGATCAAGTGGCGAACATTTTTACCAAAGCACTTCCTAAAGATAAGTTCAAGTTTCTAAGAGACATGTTGGGAATACAACAACAAAGCATTAAGGGGGAGTGTTAAAAATAATATACTAGATAATACTTTGTTATTAAATGTATCTAATTGTCTTGGGAATACAAGGAGTTATATCTTGAGTCTTTGCTATGTGGTTAATGGTCTAGGAAAGTGAGTGGTCAAGATGTATTTTGCGTTAAAAATATGGAACACATGTATGAAAAAAATTATTCCAAAAAGATTAAGTTACATTGTCTTTGTTTTATCTATCACAAACATATAAAGGCTAAAATTATAGTCAACAATACTTACACATGGTAAACAAAAGTATAGCGTCAATAAATAATTGTAATTTTGAAACTGAGAAGTTCTATGTTGGGAAAGTTCACACCCAATATTCTGGCCTCATATAATTTCAAACTGGTTTAAGCTGTTATACTTGGTGAAAATACGAACCGCAACAGTAACAGATCGAAATCACATTATGGAGCCGAATTAGATATCTTCCAAAGTAACAATTTTCAAGAATTTGCCATTACTTTATTTCCTATATTCTCTTCCATGCTTGCTTTCTAGTATTGTGATCAGGGCAATTTATAAATTAAGAGAATACTATGCAAACGTAAATCATCATTTGTTGGCTGGCATCTAATTGCAAGCATTTCCAATGTTGGTTTGCAAATTGACAGAAAACAGAAGGAAGTTGGAACACTAAGGTAGGAGGCTAAGAGCGAGTAAATTGCAATTTACTATGACAAAGAATTTCCCTCTTAAAACCCAAGTAGCTTATTGTGGAATCAATATAAAGAATTTAACCACATCAAAGAAATGGATATGGTTCTCATAATCCCATTTTTACATTTGTGGTTGTGGTTCTTATGATTTTATATTTACATGTTCAAGGTGTTTTTTTTTATGTGCAGTGAATAGGTTTGGACTTCTAAGCCCTGACCATGTTTGGAGTATGTGTGTGTACATTTCCCAATGTTGAAAGAAAAAAAACCTTATCCCTCATCACTTGGGTTTACGGTGATTGAAGTTATAGATCCCCATCACTCCTCCGAAAGTTAGGTACTCTTAAATAAAAGTTGATAATTTACAACATCTGTATAAGGGAGTATGTCTTGAAATGTTCTGGAGAAAAACTGAAAAACAAGAGTTTAGAAGGAACAAAGATAATTAGGCACTACAAGTCAATTCCAGTCCCGGGATTTCAGGACGTAAACTAACTTGAGTAAAAGATAAACTTACGTCAAAAACCTGAATTTGGTGGACTTCTCCATATATTATTCCACCCGTGTCTTTATTTTCTTACCCAAGATCCCTTAGTCGATTCAGCTCGGGCAATATGACCAAACCAAGGTCGGGCCGGTCCTTCCTCCTCAGCTCACAACACTGTAAAGCTAGTTTTGCAAATGACAAAGCCTCCTCAATAGGCCAATCAGTCACTGTTGGATCAAGCATCTCTGAAAATGTTCCTTTCTGGATTGCCCTCTCCATGTGGTATGTTAGACCAATTGCAGGTTTTGCTGTAAGAATTTGCAATAAGATTACACCAAGCGAATATATGTCAGATTTTGTGCCTAGCATCCCTGTTTGTTGATACTCTGGATCAATGTAACAGAATGTCCCGGCTGCTGCTGTCATGTGATATTGAGTTACCCCATCAGCCACGGATGGTGGAACCAGCCTGGCTAAGCCAACATCACTAATCTTGCTCACATAGTTTCGGTCTAAGAGAATGTTGGCAGGTTTGAGGTCGCGATGCACCAGAGGCTTGGGTTTTGTTTGGTGAAAAAAATGAAGGGCAGTAGCAGTTTCAGAAGCTATTTTGAAACGGGTTCTCCATGAGATTGTGGGAGTGTTGTTTCTACGGAATAGCCGGTCTTCTAAGCTGCCATTTTCCATGTATTCATACACAAGGCATCCGTACTCAGGGCAAGCTCCAACAAGGAGAACCATGTTTGGATGTCTCATGCGACTTAGTACCTCAACCTGCATTGAGATAGATAATTAAAGAGAAGGTTAGACTAATGTACGACAGCCACTTTCAATCTAGCAACCTTAACTGGCTTCTTAGTTTCGTTGAATACGTCATTGGTCATAGACACTCCTGCCAATAAGTTAAAAAATCATTGTGCATTGGTTTTGTTCTCTTATATCATTCTTTTATACTTATCTTGTCTGTCAATCTCGGAAAGGTTAGGGCTTATGGTGGTCAAAAAGGGTTGGCTAGTGAGGATTGTAGTGAACAAAATTAAGTCATTTGGCACTTTCCACAATGGACGAAATATTTGGTTCCTACAATAGTACTGTGAATAGAACGAATGGCAAGAGCGTGAGTAATGGTTAGCAGTATCTCGTGATGGTGCTAGGCAGTTATGATGTATAGGTGATGTCATCAGGGTATAGAAACAATGGACACTCTTTGTGCACAGGCCAGGATCCTAAGGTAACCTGCAAAATAATGAAGGGGAGAATCTAGAGGATGATCGCCAGATTTCCTCGTAATGTATGTCACTTCTTCTACATATGCCCAGTGTCAATGGAGCATACATAAAATAATATTTCTTTCTTTGTGTCTCAATGAACCAGATGCATGAAAACTTCCCAAGTGTTTTTGGCATGTTTTTGAATGATAATTTTCCTATTACTAAAGTGATGATAGAAAGATTTAGGTGGTAACAAAATAAGATATACAAAAAAGATCATCAATCATAACAATATTCCTTGTATCTACTATCTGCCAAAATAAGCAGTGAATATGGAATACCTCTTGTTGAAATTGCTTCTGCCCTTGTGAAATATCCGGCCTCAAAACCTTAATGGCAACAGTTGTGTGATCAAGCAAAGCTTTATAGACAGGCCCATATCCTCCTTCACCAATCTTTGCTGAAATGGAGAAGTAACTTGTCGCAATTTCAATTGCTTCTATGGTGTATTTTCTATACCGAATGTCAAAGCGTGCTAACTCTTCCATAACTTTCTTTTTCTCTTCTTCCTCATGCTTTGCCTTCATTTCAGCACCTCTTCGTTTCTGGGATTCCAATTCTGCCAGACGTTGCGCCATCTGTGCCACTTCCATGGCAGCCTTGGTTTTCTGCTTCTCCACCTCTAATATGACTAAAGCAGCTTCTTGGGCTTGCTTGGATTTTTCTAACTTGTGTGCCTCCGCTGACTTCCATAGATTAATTTCACTTGCCTGGGAACACAAGAGTCATGTGATTGGTATTTAATACTGTAAGGTTACATGTACATACTCTGAATATACTAAATTCACTGGTTGAAGTTTTAAACTTACCTTCTGGTTAGAAGTCATTGTTTCTTTGCAAGCTGAGTTGTACATTTCCATGGTTTGCTTCAATTCAAGTTTTAATCTCCTCATTTCCTCCTCTACTTCGTGCTATGATGGAATTGATTAAAATGAGTATTAGCGAGGCAATTAATATAAATAATTGTTAACTGAGATATATATATATATATATAACTCATACAATGACCTATAAATGCATGTATCGGTTTCCATTTTATCTATCCATGTGGTTCAAAGGAAATCCATGTATCGGTTTATCTATCTACATGTTTGGTTACAATTTTGAAATAAAATCCACTGTTGCGCTTTGTTGGAAAAAATATTTTTGGTACTTTCATTCAGACAAATGAGAACAGGCACTCATCCAAAAACCCACCCAAGTTCATCTCGTTTGTAAACAAAATCAACTGCACACTTCCTTGGGGCGACAATAATGGTGCACTCTTTTTGGCTACAAGTAGAAAATATTTCCTATGCACTCGAACTAGGTGTATGCTTATACATAATATTCCTTAACTAGGCTGACAATCAAACATATATACATAGATTATCCATAAGCATACAAATACAACACTATTCTCTTTATGGATGGCGATCCTGTTAAACAACTATTGACTCCCAAAGCTTAAATTGTTGAAGATGGTGTAATTTTAATATTTATACTTCAAATTTTAGTATTTATATTTCAACAAGCCCCCTCACATGCTAGATTTTAGACCTAGCACGTGAAACTCTTTTAATTAGGGTGGTGACAAAAATTGAACATAGGACATTTTGTTCTAATATCATGTTAAACAATCATTTATTCTAAAAATTTAAATTATTAGAGAGCGTATAACTTTAATATTTATACTTCAACAAATCCCCCTATTCTTTTAATCATATGATGTGACATTACAAGATATGGGAAAATGAGACTTACTAGGGGTTGGAACGAGATCGAGCTCCTGGAAACATCTGATATGTAGGAGTGGTCTAAATTTTCATAGGAGATATTAGATGATTGGAAACTAGGTGGCCCTGAAAATCCACAAGATTCTGATGAGGAATCTTGATAGGACGGACTTGTTAATTTGGTGCGAACCTGAAGATTAATAAGATTGGCTAGTGATTGTTGGGGCGAAGGAATCTTGTTGCCTGTTGGGACCCTCTCAGGTGAATGAGTCATCGTCATAAAATCACTCGTGCTGCCAAACGATATTCTCTCACTACTCCTATCAAAGGATATCCTTTCGCTGCTTCTATCAAATGGCATTTTCTCGGAGCCTTCGCTTCCCCAACTCCTTCGGCTATATGTTCTACAATAGTAGAAGTAGAGACATGAATCCAAAAATAAGAAATATGTAAGCCTTGCATGTAGTAAGTAGGCTGACTATACAAGCATGAGATACTCACTCTACCTAGTCAAAAAGAGAGTGTTTATTATTATCTTCTCCATGTAACCTTAACCCATTACATAAAATTTACCATTGTTATGCACTCATGAAGAAAACACTTGAGAAATTTTATGACATACGTACCGATAAAAATCCTCAGAGGATGGGGTATCTGATGCTTGAGATTGTTGCTGGCTAGAACTAGTTGTACTAGGTGTAGGAGGTCGACTAGCCAACTTGACATTCTGAACTTTTCCTTTAGATGATATTGCATACACTGAACAAAAGTTTGGAGCAGACCTCCCTAAATTAGTTGGCACATCTACATTTCTAAATGCCCTGCGAGACAAAATTGAAATGAGCATTCTTTCAATTCGAAGTAAGAAAAAAATGAAGTCTAGGTGCTTCAATCTCCTCCTAAAGCTCCAAAGAAGAAAAAGGGAGAGAGACAAAGAGAAAGAAACCTTGTTAGGGCACTCCGGCTCGAAGCACCCACAACAAGAGTACTGATGAAGTTGTTATTGATAAAACCAACAAGTGCATTGGCAACATCAAGGTCGTGGAGGACCACCTCCTTTGCTCGAACCTGAAATATATCCTTGTGCTAACCAAATCATGTTTGTGACAAGGAAAATACTATTTGAACTTAGTTTAGGGATCTAATCTGAGAACTTAATTTGATGCAATTGATAGTGGACTCCATCTAATATTAGAACTCATAATTATTTCAATAACTATATTAAATTAGGTCTCTAATTAAGTCTAGCATTGGTCGTGTGATAAGGGTAGTGACTTTCAACCATACGCAACATGTATTGGTCAACTAAGATTTAAATTTAAACTAATGACCCATGATATTCACATTATTATATTTCACCATATACACTTTCAAAAAGTATTGAAAAACCTCTTGAGGTTTCAAATCAATTTATAGTTAACCAACCTCGTCCATTTTAGTTGACTGCCAATTAACTGACCACATATGATGGGCGCCACCAAAATTTCACCACTATATCTATGCTACTCTTATATCATATGTTTTACTTCTTACTTTTATCTATACTACTTCTAAATGTCAACACATTAAAAAAATTTGAATACCTTTATTGCCCTTAACAAATCATATATATACAATGCTATCCACCACAAAATCAACTATGTAACCCAAAAGTCAGCTACTTAAGAACCACCATAAAATCATTTAATTTTGTAAATTGATTTCTCTTTAATTTACTAAACTTTAGTTTTTCCTCATAACTAACTTCAGTACAAATTTATCCCAGAAACCTTCAGTTAATTTATACAAATTTTTTAAAAAAATTTTCTTATAATATCTTGCAAAAAATAATAATTAATGACGGCAATTATGTATATAAATGCTGGGAACAAGTGTGCTAGTTGGGTTTGAGTTGTAGGTTCAAAGAATCTCAATTTCAAGCCAAAACTTGGTGCACTTGCTTAGTAAAATTAAATCTATTTTATGGTTAGTATTTGATGATGAATCCTGCTATCATATTCATTTATGAATTATGATGGGTAGTAATTTTACTTGTGACCCCATAGAATGACGAAGTAGAGAACGTTTATCCAACCAAAATGAATATAAAATATCTCAATTGCTAATTGTCTAACTGCCTCAGAGATAGTCCAGCTCATTTTTTTTTGTTTTAAATGTAGGACATGTTTAGTGTTTGATGCCTATTTTACTAGATGATAAATTTAAGCATGTTAATACCACATTCAAAAAGAAAAGAAACACTTAATTAATTAATATTGAACATGTTGAAACGTGGTGGGAAATCCCAAGGAAGCTCCTCCTCTTTATAAGAATGCAGGCCCTTTTATGATGGTACAGGTAGGATGGTTTAATTTGTAAAAATGAGTCTGTTAGTGACTAGATTTCAGAATATTATGATTTAAACAAGTGGAATTTTACACTAATATTTATTTAATGTGTATAGCTAACCATCTTATGTATGATATTCTATACCCCTAGGTTTAAACTTTAGTCATATTCCAGGAGATCATTATGACATGCTGAAAATAAAGTTTGTTTTCTCATGTAGTCGCATTTTCAACAATACATTGAAGTTGGTATATAATGGTAAGTTATCTTTGAATTTAAACAATTTTGGCCCAAAAAAATAAAGATGAGAATTTCACAATTCTCTATAAAAATATTTTATCATTATACAGATTCATTTGAATTTGGTGGTTCTTGTGCTTTAGCATAGAATTGTGCAAAAACTTGTTTCTTTTATTTTATTTTTATTTTCATTCTTGTTTCCATTCATTCTTTTTGTATTTATGTTGTTGTTTAGTTACTATCCACGTTGCAAGTAAAATCCTATCAACCTAAATAGATATTAAGTAAAACAAAAAACAAACTCAAAATAATTCATGTGCAACGCACGTATACACTAATTAGTAATAACATGTTTCTAAATGCAAAGAAAACAATAAAAATAATCGAAACACAAAATTTGGCAAAACCAGGCCCCCCCCCCCCCCCCCCCCGCGCGCCCACAGTTTATGACATGAGCAAACCAATGTAAGCCCATAAGTGTAGGTTTGATTTCCCCAAATGAATTAGATCAAATATTCAGTACACACATTTAAAGAATTTGAGGTGATCAGGTTTGATCAACTGCTATCAACCAATGCACTCGCGTTTTGGTGCTGGAAGTTTAAGTCAGGATTCCAATGTGACTTCTAAATGGTTCAAGGAACTGATCAGCTCAAAAATAATAGTGCCCAATAAATGACAGAAGCAAAAGGATTAATGGAAGAACTCAGCTCAAACATTTTATGTATAAGTACATATATTAGTTTCTTAATAGATGGCAAGGTTCAGAACACTTCTATTAGTCTATGGATGGAAGTGGAACAAACAATTTCCATTTCCATTGGTTCATGGATAAACCATGTATATGTTGGGTGATAATAGGTAAATGTGCAAAGGACTTACATAAGTTATAAATAGAACTATAGACAATTACCCCTTTTCGAGCACAAATTCCACGATAAGGTAGAAAGAATTGCTGCAATTCCAATTCTGTTGGTGCACGACCATCTTTGGGGACAATGGCTCCCTCTGCAAAACGGAACAAACAAACATGAAAAGGAAATTAATGTCCAAAAAACCGAAATTATGATAGATACTACAATTGCTATATTTGGTGAAAAATAACTCTTAAGGTATCTATGTATCGCATGGATGACTAAGATCATGCAAATTGCTCTACATATGAATCTTGGCTGCTTGCGTTATTTTTGCAGAATATTGTTTGGTTCAAAAACATTATAATCTACAAACCTAACTGAATGGGCACAAAATAAAATTCTCTCCAAATTCCCCTATTTACAGACTTTGAACATGCATAAAACGATCACAAGGTAAAAGGGAAAGTTCAATCCATGAAATCATTTTCAAAGCTTTCCAGACCTCCTAAAGTTGAGGTACCTACGGGGCCGCATGTTTTGTTGGTTCTGGACATGGACGAGGATGACCTGACTGTTCCTCTTCAAACCTTTTTCGATAGCCCATTTCACGGCATGGTGGCTGTTCTTGTCTCTATCAATTGCTATGGCCATGACAGCAATACCTACTTCAAAGTCCGACTCATTAGCCATATTTACTGGTTAAAAGAGGGCGAAATTGTTGCAGCAGATTGTACTAGCTAGGGGCAAGATTGATATGACTTGACCTGGGTTTTCTCTTTTAACCCCTATATTTTCAAGTGCTCTTATAATAGCTGGGTGATTGGTTAAATTTGGCTGCAAATACAAGTCATGCCAGCATGAATTCATAAGGAGAAAATTTACAGCTTCATGCATGCTTTCCATATACAATGGAGTTAACAGTTGTATACATGTGCATATATAGTATTTGACGTTGGTAAATAGTAATATAACATACATTCGGAAGGTGCTTTTATAACTTCAATTAAGGACAATACATCTATTTTTGGCAAATTTTTGTATTAAGAAGAGTAAGTGCGAGCAATTTTTATAAATATGTAAAAGGAAAAATAAAGAAACTGCACAAATTGGCTTTCTGTCCCAATGGGCGGGGGCAATATTGCATGCAAATTACGAATGCAGTTTTTCTTATTAGAGGTAAGTTGGGTGCGAATGTGGGATGCTGCTAGTGCGAGAGAGAGAAAGGAAGATAGGTAACGGAAGTTATGGACACCAGATACATTTTTATCTAGCATAATATATATCGAAAGCTGAAGAGTGAAGATAGGGATGGATGGTGGTCAAGAAATTGGTGAAAATTAAAACTACAATGCATGTAAGAGTTCCAAAATTATTCTTGTTACCTTGCTCCTTCTTTCCAGAAGGTAAAAGACTGGGGTGGTTCAAGACAATTTGGGGCTTAAAGTGGTACCTCTAAATGCGGTCTTCTTTGTTTAGTATTAACATTTTTTATTTAAAATTAATTTTTCTTATTTTTTGAGTTGCAAAAGTACTAATTAAGTTTTCATATTTAAGTTTTGCTGCTATATCTTTTTCAATTGATAGTATCGCTAATGCAGTTAATCTTTCTTGTGATATAGTCTATCTTAAGTAAGATTTTATTAATTTTAATTTTTAAAAACTTCTTTCCGAAGATGCAACTATTACATGAATTGTTAATAATATTCTATAAATAATGTATGCATTTGGAAAAAGAATCTAACTTTTTTATATAACTTAGTATCTCAATTGGAGTGTTTTTTTTTCTTTGTAAAATTTCTTTTAAAACATTTAGTTCTAAAAATAAATCTAAGCCATCAATGTCGAAAAAAAATTTATGTTTAAAAATATTCGAAATCCAAACAATATTATTTTAAACTATCATCGGTTAATGATTTTAATTTTTCTAAATTAAATAAAAAACCAAAAATATTTTCTTACTTTTGTAATTATTCAAATCAACTCTTAAATGAAGAAATAACATGATCAATTATATATGTAAAATAATTAATTCTAAAATATTCTTTAATAAATTGTGTTACCTCATCATCAACATTTTCATCAAATTGTTTCTTTCTACGAACTCTACGTTTTTCACAAAATATAGGTTCTATACCCGTTTCACATGCAATCTTTTTAGATGAAATCATAGCATTTATAAATCCACTTTCCCTATATTTTTAAAAAAAAGAAATGAGACATTTTAATTGATCTATAGCAATATCAATATGCATGTCTTTTGATTGTAAATATTTACTAACTAAGTTGATGAAAAATAAAATATTATATCAAATAGTCATATCCAATAATAACTCAAAATTTTCATTCTCATATGTTGCTAAACAATTAGATTCACTTCTTGTTTTAGGATCTTAACTAGTTTTTGTTAATTGCAATAATACATCTCTTATTCTTGGAGCTTGAAATCTTATTGTTTTAACACTTTCAACACGACTTTCTCAACGTGTTTGTAATAATAACTTAAGAGTTAAACCTTGAACATTATATTGTAAAATTTTTTATCGTGTTGTGGGAGAGGAAAATAATGAATATATATGTTGTACTATTCCAAAACATGATATAACCTTTGGATAAGAGTTACGGAATGTAAATTATATTCATAAAGAAAGAAGGAGAACTTCAAGATCAAAACAAAGGGTGATGCTCACATAACAATGCATCCACCCATTACAAAAGTAGAACCAAAAGACTATCAACAAAACCAAGGGTCTAGAATTCTAAAGAAAGTGTCAACCTTGAGCTGGTACTTTTAGTAGAATCCAGACTCAATAAGAGACAAAGAAAGCAAAAAGGCTTCCATCAATATGAGACTGCACATTCAAAACAAAGGAATGCGCTCATTACAAACTTACTGGCATTGTCTACAGCCGAATGGAAAGCACAATACCAACTTACTTTTCTGCTCATTCACTGTCCACCAGCTTCTTTGAGGAATGGGAGAAACAAATGGATGATGAAGCCAGTAGTTCCTTTCTTGCTCGTAGGTTGTACTCCTCAAAACAGAGCAAGCAGGCAGCATTCAAGGAGCAGTGAAAAAGAAGAAAGCCCTTCCAGAAGGATCCAGGATGAAGGCCTTGATGTTCCTATAGGTGAGTCTCTGAGGTCTCATCTTCAAAAATGTCAAGTAAAAAACCAAGCTAATCTTTCATACATATAAAAACAGTCAAAATAAACTTCCTCAAGAGTGCACCTAGCTCTTAAATCAACATCCTAATCTGATCAACCTCATCCTCATTCTCAAAACATCTCTTACTCATTATCATTTGAACTTAAGCCACTACTAAAAGCTGCCAAGCTTGGAGGAGTGACAAGTTTTGGGGGAAACTCTTGAATTTGAGTGTGACTAACCTATCTTTGATGATTTGCAAAACACACTTCACGAGACTTCTACAATCCCTAACCTGGTTTGTATGGAGCCTTCTATTCCTTTCCTTCCATATTATATAGACAGTAATTGCCAAGCACAACTTCTTTAACACCGTGCCAAAGTGATTTACCTTTCCAACTTTGACTTGCATAAGCTATGAAATTTGGCCAAGAGCTCGGTAGGCCTTGTTCACCACACAGTTGCATTATAAAAATGTAAATATCTTGTGAGAACTAGCATCTAAAAAAAAGGTGAGAATGAGATGCCTACAGAGGATATATGTCACTTCAACATCTGGTGCAATTTTTTGCATTCTATCTTTAGTGCTTAGCATTTCCTTTATTGCTAACCAAAGAACGAAGCTCATGCTAGGTATGCATTGTCCATACCACAATAGATGGTGCCAAGATACCTTTTGCCGAGGGGACCTAAGGTGATTCCAAGCAGAAAAAGTAGAAAATTACCCATTTGTTGCTATAGTCCACTTCACCTTGTCATCCTTATTTGACAGAAGAATATATATAGGCATATGATTTGAAATCTCCAAGAGATCAGATGTACCTGTGAAAGGCCATGACCACCTATTGTTGCCAACGATAGCTGCCACTTTAGCATCCTTAGGTAACCTTGCATGATCAATAATATTATCACTCCATTTAAGTAGAAGAGGACCATGAGGGTGCCAATTATCCAACCAAGGCTAGTACTCTCTCCATTGCCAATACCATGTTGCATTAGAGGTCTAACCATTAGTCTCAGTTTCAAGAAATTCAGTCAATTCCAAGAGCAAGAATGAGGTGACTTAACTACCCAGATGCTTTTTCCTCTTAAATGGTAAGAATGGATTCATTTAGCCCAGAGGCTTTCTTTGTCAGTAAATAAAGTCCACAAATATCTCATCATCATTGCAAGATTCATCTCCTTAAGTCTTTTAATCCCCAATCCCCCTTCTTTCTTAGGTTTGCAAATATCCACCTAGGCCACTTTGGCTCCAATGGGCTTGAGATCAGTCCCCTTCCAGAGAAATGATCTAAGTATTCTTTCTAATTTATCAAGAACTTGTTGGGGGATAAAAATATGGGCCGACCAGAAATTATGGGAGCTATTGAGCACAGAGGTAATCAATTGAAGCCTTCCATCAAAAGATAAAATAGTTAGTCATATCACAAAGTACTAGGTTTAAATTATAACAACCACATGGTATATCAAATTCTAATGTTTGATGAGGCGTACAGTCAATCTAATAGTTATAATAAATTAGATGAATAAATTATATCATAATAACATTGTTTTTTTTTTTTTTGGTTCAACAGTCAGAAGTGTCCGATCCAGTTTATTCGCACCTAGACTAATCTCTCATGCCATGAGATTAAGAGATTGCAAAAGTTTAATTTTAGGGGGTTTGAAGTGAGTTATCACTTGAGCTACTTGTAACATTGCTCTTTCCAATTTTACATAAAATCCAGAACTTCTGCCAAGTTAGGACAAGAAGAGTCTAATGTAACGGAAATACAATGTGAGCAAATATAATATTTTAAATTAAGGGTGTCAATCATGTCGTGTCATATCATTTTTGGATATATTATTTTCGTTTCGTATCACTTTTGATACGTGTCGGATTCGTAAAAAATTATTTAATTTGACAACAACTAATATAATGTTATTTAAAAAATTATAAAACTCTTATTTTCTATCTACAATACTCTTTACATAATTATTTTATATTTACAGTACACATTAATCGTGTTATTCATATCGAACCATAATTTGACCCATTTATTACTTGTGTTAACTAATCGTGTTATTTTTGAATTCGGTTCGAATCGATGTGTTAACGGAAAAAATTGACACCCCTATTTTAAACCCAACAGCATTGTTCTCAACTCATGGTTGCAGCATAACCAATTCCTATCGGTCTTCTGTACAACACCCCCTTTCTCTTCCTAGTCTTTTGACCATTAAATCTGAACAACCCAAATAAACACCAATTTGGGCATTGGCATTAATGATACCTAATTTGGGTTTTATTCGATTCTACTGTAAAAAGTGAAATACGAGTCAAATCATAATTTTAATTATTTTTTTGGTTTAATTGCCATGGAGGTCCCAAAAGTGTAAAATTTGTCTTATTTTAATTTTCAATATATTAATTACATCATTTTGATCCTTGAAATATTGAATATGTTTCTATGTGATTCTTCAAGCAGATAGCGTCCAAATCATTAACGTTTTTTTTTTGATAAACTTGTAACGTGATACTTAAATATAGGCAAAAAAATAATTTAGATAACTCTTTACCAAACTTTGGATAATTCTTAACTAAAATTTGGGTAACTTTTGACCAAAAATATGTAATATATGTTGCTATTGACTAAAATTTAGATAGCTCATGATTAAAATTGTGTAATTTGGGTAACCTTTTGACCAAAATTTGGATAGAAATTCGGTCAAGAGTTTATCTATGTTTATGATAAAAAATCATTAATAATTTAAACGTTATTTGCTAGAGGGACTATATAAATACTTCAGGGGATGAAAAATGATGCAATTAAAATATTGAAAACAAAAATAAGACAAAATTCATACTTTAGAGACCTCCGGTACAATTAACCTTATTTTTTTAATCCAAAAGTGAAGGATATAGCCACAAAAAGGAGAAAAAAAAAGGCAAAATAAATAGGACATCTTAAAAGGGTGAAAAGAATATATGCATTACTACACAACATCGATGAGTAATCATACTCGCCTCTCTTTGGAAAAAAAGGTCCAAAATACATGTTCTGGGTGATAAGTATAAACGAGTTTAGTTGAGTTGAATAATAAAAAAAGTTGGTAAAGAATGACTAGCGATATTTAATTGACTCTAATTTATTTTTCTAAAGGAAAGGATGTAAGGCGAATAATGAGAGTGTGAAATAGGACTTTTCTTCCTCTTTAATTGGGCAATGAGAGTGTTCCTTATACTTGTCACTTAATTATTTAGATTTCTTCACATTTAGAATACTACTTCTACAACTTATGACATTTGTGCACGTATAACACGTAACCCATTTTTATTGATATCTATTAATATAACCGTTAAAAAATATAATTTTATCCTAATAAAAAATTATAATTTCATATTATCATTTATTTTCAATATATTCTAAAGTTCAAAATCTAGTTTACCATTTGAATGTCTAATAAAATATAAATATTTATATAATGTTTTTCATATTACATTTTATATAAATATCTACATTTTATTAGATATTCAAATGATAAGCTTGATTTGCAACTTTAGAGTATATTGAATCCACAAAATAAAAGGTAATATGAAATTATAATTTTTTATTAGGATAAAATCATATTTTTTAACGATTATATTAACAGATATCAACGAAAAGTGGTTATGTGTTACACATGCACAAACGTCGTGAGATGTAAGGGGAATATTCTAAATGTGAAGGAGTTTAAATGATTAAGTGACAAACATGAGTGAATCTAAGTATAATTTATCAATTTAATTTTAGGTGCACATTGATACAAATTTCTATCTTTGAGGGTGCAAATTGAGATTTTTTATTTTTAGGGATGCACATTGATACAAATTTCTATCTTTGAGGGTATAAATTGAAATTTTTTATCTTTGAGGGTGCAAATTAAGATTTGAACAATCTTTTAAAGTACAAAATGAGATTAACCCTTTCCTTTAGAAAAATAAAGGATGTAAGGCGAATAATGAGACTGTGAAATAGGACTTTTCTTCCACTTTAATTGGGCAATGAGAGTGTTCCTTTCCCTTTGTTGTTTCAATGTAGTTTTAAATTTAAAATGAATTTATTTATTTTACAATTTAATATTCGAGAAGAAGGCATAAAATTTTGTATCACACTAAAATCGAATTATTTCATCTTTTACATAGAGTGAACACATTTTCAATATGAAAAATGAGTATTTATCTAAATCAAACACAAATAAGTGGACATTTTTATCTAGAGTGAACCACTACTAAAACCAATCATAAGAAAGGGCATGGTCACATTAGCCAATTTGATTCAACATCAAACCCAACTAAATGTGAATGGCTGGCTGGTGTTCCGAAAAATATGTATAAAATTTGTATATTATTATATATTTAAAAATAAATAAATTGAAGGGTTAATTTCAACTTAAATCCTAAAACATCACTCAAATATCAATTTACATCCTGAAAGATATAAATTCGTATCAATCTGTATTTGAAACTAACTCTGTCTATTTTTTCGTTAAAAAAATTATGGGTTATTTATAAATTATACCCTTCAAGTTTAAATATTTTATATTTATTGTCTAAAAAAAAATTTAATCCATTAATGCTTTTTAAATAGCTCTCAATTGTATCATATCATAACATCTTCGTATCCTGTTTGAGTCAATAAAAAATATTTTTTAAAATTTTAAAAAAATTATAAAATTCCTATTTTTTTACCTATAATACTAGCTAAATAACTATTTTTAAAAATAGTTATTGAACAAGTATTATAAACAAAAAATTGGAATTTTTTAATTTTTAAAAAATATTATATGAATTATCGTAAATGTGAAAGATAAGATACAATGTAATTGACTTGATATGAAAATATTTTTTTATCCAACACGATATGAAAATATTATAATATGATATAATTTAGAGTTATTTAACGAGCATTAATAGATAAAATTCTTTTGTATTATAAATGTGAAATATTTAAAATTTGAAGGATATAATTTATAATTAATTCAAATGTTTTTATCGATAAAATAGATGATAGTTAGTCTCAAATATATATTAATACATATTTAAGAGTACAAATTAAAATTCACATAATCATTCGAGATCGAGTTGAGATTAGCCCAAAACTAATATCTCACATCAGTTACATAAAAGTATCGGGCTGATTGATATGGACTGAAGAGATGGGCAATTTAACGCAAATTAGGTCAAACGTAAAGCAATCGTAGCAAACCAATAGGAATTTTCAAAACCACCTTTTTCATTTATCATTAAAACACAGGGATATGTGTTTTCAAAACCCTCGCTCCTCGAACTCTCTCTCCGCTTCGCCGTTCTCTGTTTCTCATCCTCTCTCTACCATATGCAAAACATTCAATTTACTTTTCTTCCATTAATAACCATTTTTTTTCATCATCCATTGCTGTTCTAGAGTTTGATTGTCCATTATTACCTACAATATACACATTTATATTTATATATATCTGCCTCTTTATACATTGTGTGTTCAGTTTAATTTTCGTGTTTTGGTTGGAGATGGTCTCCGGTACGCGAATCGAAGGTGGGGCACAAACTCTGTCTGCTGAGATACGGAAAACCATTCAATCAATCAAAGAAATTGTAGGAAATCACTCTGATGCTGATATATATGTGACTCTTAAAGAGAGCAATATGGATCCCAACGAAACTGCTCAAAAATTGCTAAATCAAGGTCTGTTTAAACACGCCCCACTTTGATTGTTTTACTTCCCCCCCTTCTGTTTTTCCATCGCAGTTGGTGGTTGGGTTTTGCTCCCCAAAACCGTATTGGTCAAGGCCTTTCTTCTGTCATTAACATACACACTGTTCAAAAGCATGCATACCCATAAGAAAATATAGAGGGGATGGTGGAGTACTGAAGCCTTGTAGATGGCATCATTTTACTGCCCTACATATTACCAAGCATAAAAGTGTGACTTCTTATAGTTTCCTTCTAGAGTAGTGGGGAGTGGGGACTGGTTAGCTTTCTAATTGTAATGTTGTGTCTGTGTTGACGATATGTTATGGTAACTATAAGCTTGTTTGAATCATAAATAAATAAATTTTGTATTTCTTCTACATCAGTAATTTGAAAAAAAAAAGTAATCTTCTTTTGCATTTAGCTGTCTTTGTTTTTTGGAAGGTGAGGCTTAGCTTGAGTTCAAGCTTGCGTAAAGAGGTGAGAACAATTAAATGAGTTGACCAGAAAGTTACTCAAATCACAATATAGACTATTGTGATTTTTTGGAATCATTTGGGTGCATTTTGATGTCAAGTGGAGGTTGTTGTTCCTTTGTTTTGATCTGTAATTGGTGTTAGTGTTTAGTGGTTGTCTTTGTGTCAATTTATAGTGCTCAGTTGTAGGAAATGATAAAAACAAGTTTTCTTCATCTCTTTTATTGTTTTGAGTCTTTTGACGTGTCCTCACTTGTTTAATTTGTGACTGTATTTAGTAATAGTTTTTATCAAGGGGATCATAGTGAAAGTGTCACAGATAATTCATGGTATCAGTGGAGAGAGAGGGGGGGGGGGGGGGGGGCGAGGGAATGTTATTTGGGTAGTTGTAGATCCAACAAATTTGTCATTTTTTTTCACTCGAAGAGGCAATGCCAACCAGTTTGAGTTTAGTATGTCTAGACTTTGCCAAAAGTATGCTTTTCAATTGGAGTTCCTGCGGTGGATGGAAAAATTAGCTATCACATCTCATTTGCTCTTAAATTTAGTTTTAGTGGACATGGGAATGACGACATCTTCTTTTGAAAATCTTGAGATTCTTCCTAGACCCCACACTGACTGGAGTCTCCTGCATTGGGGCCGCCTTTTATGTGTTGACCATTGGGTTGAGATTCTCTTGCCATCCCTCTCAATAATATGAACCAAACGTGCAACCTGGGGAATTCAGAATGAAATGCAGATTTCATCCCTTCATTCTTATCATGACCAATTATTTAAATTTGTCGAAAGTGATGATGACACGATACATGTTATTTCTGACAGTAGTTTTTGAACCAAAATTTTTTTTCTTTGCTTATTTTATTTGGACCTCTATTATATGCCTGAATGCCCTTCCACCCTTTTCTGCTTGAAGTCCTAACTTAAATGCACTTTTCAGAATTTTTTTTATCGAGACTCATAAAGTGGTAAAACTTTGATGAAAAATGCATGTGGGTGAGTGTCATTACTATGTTGTTGTTATTAAGCAGGAGGTTGTGTTGAATACTAAAGCCGCATATTTTATTTTGTATTTTTATAGTGAGTTCATGCTCCGTTTCTTTATAAATTTTGCTACCTTTTTGCCTGTTTTGTTTTTCTTCTTTGTTGTACTATGAATGGTTTTCTTATGTTGCTCACTCTTTGTTGTCCTTTTTTAGATCCATTTCATGAAGTGAAGAGAAAAAAAGACAAAAAGAAAGAGGTATTCTTCTGAAAACTTAATTGTATTTAGGCACATTGCTTGCACAAATATTGGGAAAACTGCTTTTGATCCTCTTCTTGCATTGCTTGCTTTTGCTTTTATACCAGTAATAACTTGATGATACCTTTAAGGTATGTGTTTTTGACGACACTGAAAGCAATTTTGTTTTGTGTGAAAAAATGCAAAGCTTCAGACCATCTGAAGAGTACATTTAAACTGTCATTTTCCATTTACCAAGGCTACTATATGCTGTTGAATGTTGAATGCTGTCGATATTTTGTTTAAGTATTGGTACTAGATAGAGCATAATGGTCAAACTCCAATTAGGTCTTTCTTTAGTCTACTCAAGAAATTGGGATTTGCTAATGATTTTGTGCAGATCTTTACTTTTTTTTCTCGTTATTTTGGTGGGGGCCGGGTATCTGGTGGAATACATTTGATATAGGTAATTTGGACCTTTTAAAGGTACCTTTGAGACTTTAGCTTGAGTGGCACAACTTCCCCACATTTTTACCCTTGCCGTGTACTTTTACGTTTATCTAACATTTGATTGACATTTATCCTTGAATTTCAATCCAGAATACAATGTACAAGGGCTCTAATGCTGCAGAGCCAAGAAAATATATTGACCATTTTGTTCAGCGGATGAAATCTAGCACATATTCTGATCGTAATGTACGAAGTGGAGGCTATAGTCGCAATGGTTTACCTGGTAATGTGATTTCATGATGAGATTATGTTTATCACTTATAAATAACAAGATTTCTATTTGTCTTATATATGTTTAATGCTTCAGTTTTTGCTTGCTATATTTGATGTAATTCTCATCTGCAATTTTGAAAAGGGAATTCCCACACGTTGCAAAGGATCAACCTTGTCCAGTAACCATTCTGAGTGGGTGTACGAGACTAAGCGAACCTTGCTAGATTTTCACTAAAAAATAAGATGATATGTACTAGATGGCCGACATTGATGGCCGTAAGTTGGAGCTAGGGTACCGAGACTGCAGCGGTGACATTTGCATCACGCATGTACCCACACTTGTGTTATTTAACGCCCAAGGACAATTGAGGCGCTAAGGGTCACTTGGGGCTTAGGCAAGAGGCAATAGGAGAAGCGAGGGTTTCATCAAAGTGAGGGTTTCATCAAAGCGAGGGCTTCATCAAAGCGAGGCAAACATCATAAATAACAAGTAAAGATTTTATCATTGACAAATATTTCAAGCAAGGCATAAAAATTACAATTCTTGAGGTTCACAACTAAGCTTTAAAAAATTATAAAGCATCCAAGTTTCAACTATTCAAATATAGAGTATTTGAACTGGTACACAATCAATCAATTTAACAATGAAGTCAAAGTGCAGAGAAGCAAACGTAATAAACAATTACTTACAATCACATAACCAAAAAGTAAATTCTTTGGGAATAGTGACAAAAACAAAAATTGGGTTCAGGCTATAGTACACGAATCACTAAAAGAAAGGAGTGGCACACAATAGAAGAAGGTATGATACATTGCTTGTAGCATGTGATAGATGAACTGGAAGGGGGAAGATAGTTGCTGGAAAGAGAAAACATTAGACCAGCCTGAGCCCTTAGGGAAGTCTCATCCATAAATTAGAAAAAATAATGTTAGCATTAATGTATTCATGCCTAATCAAAATATATCGAGACAGAACAAAAAAAAAAGTGCGAGCGCCTTGAGCTCAATCCCCGAGGCGTGCCTCACCTATGTGAGGCCAATTAAATTTAAAGGGGTGCTCCTGGAGTCGCCTTAAGCCTAAGTGAAGGCCTAGGCTCGACTTTTATAGCATTGACTCACGACTGATTTTTGCATGGTGGAGCAAACTTAATTCATAGTTTATCGAGGAAATGACAGATAAAATGTGATATGATGTGTTGTTGATGTTGGAAAACTCAAGTACTTATTATGTTGAAATTTTTTTTAAAAAAATATAAATAAAAAGAAAGGAACCAAACTTTATTTAAATATATTTAATAGATCTTAGCCTTTGTTATTTGCATTTTGATGGGATGGTTCTGATTACAGTGTGTGGATTCACTTGTTGTGCTTAAAGAGAGGAAAGACATGCGTTGTTTGGTTCTATGGAGTTTCAGAGTTTGGTTGAAATCTAATTCTTATGCATCGTTGGATGTATCCTGAAGTGAAGTGGCATGTTTCTCTCTCATTTTTATCCACATCTATAGCCACCATCCTCTATTAATGCTAATGATCAAAATTTCGTTTAAGTGCATTATTTCGGTTACATAGAAAATAAAAATATTTCGGCATGTTTCAAAAAAATTTCGACTCATTTTAGAAATAGAATGAAAAAATTAAAGAATTTAAGAATTATTTTTTAAAAATATTGGTCGGAATATACTAAAGTGTCTTAAATACCTTAAAATATTTCGAAATAATTGTGCAAATGCATTGAAACATTACAAAACACTATAAAAAACTTCGTAGTAGAATATTGATTTCATTACTGATTTGTTTTGGTCTCATTGTAAACATAAACGTTTCCGATGTGTTGACCGTTTCGAAATAAAATTTTGATCATTGATTAAGGCATCACCCCTTTATTGTCCATTTTTTCCAACAATTTCCCATCACTTCCTTTATCACCATTTTTGCGGAATCATCAGTAACTTGGACATGAAATTCTTCCCCAAGCTCATAGACTTTTTTTTTTTTGTTTGATCATAATACAAAGCTATCAGATACAAATTAATGTACATTTACATATCCTAGGAACCTATATAATATACTTGTTGTATTAGTTGTTGAAGAGCTATATAATTTATGTGTTGGGGTGTATTGTGGGTTGATGATTGTTAAAGTATTTAGGTTTTTTTAGGTGGTAATTCAATGTCGAAATTTTTTTGGGACTCAGTAATTAAGAGAATTGGAAAAAGACTTAAAAGGATGATGAGAGATTTCTTATGGAAAGGTTGTGGAGAAAGAAAGGAGGACCACTTGATTAGTTGAGAGGTTGTGTCTAGGCCTAAGATTAAGGGTCGTTTATTGTTGAAGAATTTGATAAAAAGAAATGCGGTTCTTGTTGGGAAATGGCTATGGAAGTTTCCTTTGAAGCAAAGATTCAATGTGGAATGTGTGGTTATTAGTAGCAAATATGGGCTGCGAGTTAATGGATGGGATGTCAATGAGGTTGAAAATGGTACATTCCGAAGTCCTTCGAAATTCATTTCTAAAAAAATTCCTAGTTTCTCTCAACAAGTCAAGTTCATTGTGGGAGATGGATTGAAAGTTCGGTTTTGGGAGGATATTTGGAGGGGGAGCATTCTTTTCCTCGTCTTTATCATCTTTCTACCTATCATTTAAAGACCATCGCATCCTTAGCATTATCGTCCTCTTTTTTGGTCACTTGGAATTTTGGGTTTTGTAGGAATCTAAATGATGGAGAGTAGTTGGAGTTGTTATTTCTTTTTATGCTCAATGGTGTTTAATCGAATCCAAATTCTTCAAGCAAAAGAGTTTAGATTTGTGATTGTTCGGGTATCTTATTTTGAATTCTTAGTTGATGACTCCGCATTTCCATTTTCTGCCTTTGAAGATTTGAAAGGCTAATATGCAATAGTGTGCATGGATAATTGCTTGCTTCAAAGGAGGAGACCGATGAATTGTCCTTCACCACAATGGTGTGTGATGTGTAAAAGTGATTGTGACAGTGTGGATCATTTGTTCTTGCAATGCCCCTTGGCTCTTTCACTTTGGAATAAATTTTTTGATTTTGTTGGCATCTTTTGGGTTGCTCCGAGGACAATATCATCTATGTTTTGTTTTTTAGAGTGTTGGGTAAAAGTAGAAGAGGGAAAACTCTTTGGCATTGTGAATGTTTTGCTCTTATATGGGTATCATGGATGGAGAGGAATTTTTTAAGATTATCGAGAAGTAGAATCTTTATGGGTCCGAATGCATTTTTGGGCTTCCGTTACAAAGGATTTTGAGAACATTCCTCTTTTTTACATTACTTCAAGCTGGACATCGACTATTGAATTGTAATTTTTATCTTTATGGTCTAGTTTTTGTGCTTTTTTTTTTTTGGTTTTTTTTGTCTTTTTTGTGTTGGACGACTTGTCCACCTTTGTTATTGGTTCTTGTATTACTCCTTTCATTTTTATTAATAAAATTGTTGTTTCTTATCCAAAAAAATGGATAAGGTGTACAAGCTCTGAAGCTGGCATGGCATGGCAGAATTAGCAGAGAGTAAAACTGAGTTGTATTGTTCGATGATACTTGTTTTTGAGCTCTATGACAGTCCACTCTATGACTCCATTGGTTTGTCGAACTGTTCTAGCCATGAGTTCTGCATTGCCTCTATAACCCTCGCTGATTCACCTTCTCCACTAATTCAAAATTGTCTACTGTCTCACACATCTATTGTATACAACTTGTGTCACTACAGATTAAATTCCGGTTAGAGCTTTCTTTGGGGCTTTGAGCCTTGCTTATTCAACCTTCGGCTAATCTTGTTTGATTTACCACAATTTTTAAGATCAATCAGTCCAATTTTTGCTGTTGCCCAATAAAGGAAATGCTTCTTTTTATCTAGGTTTTATAGTTAAGTTTTGCTTCCAAGGAGGCATTCGGTATATCTTCACCGCTAGAATTCATGAATTGATGGGATCTATACTATGACTTTTGGGTAGAGAAATAAAAAATATATTTTTGAATGTTATACATTTCTCTAAAAATAGAGATGCAATAGAACATTTGCTCTCCTACATTAGTAATGACTGACCCACGTAGGAATTTATGTCTAGGCCAAGCTTCATTTTACTCCCGATGGTTAGGTCTTTTTTTTCATTTTGCTTTCCTTACCTTTGGAAATAGCCAGATTACCTTTACGTGGTTTGTGTACTAAAGTGCGGAGTACACTTTCTATCCAACTTAACAGTATGCGTGAGTAATGCGACTGTGTCAGAATTTTTTTTGAAGGAATTACCTTATAATTCTTGAAAAATGCAAAAATGCCCATTTCTCATTTTCTTCAGAACCAAACCCGTTAAAAATACCTTATAATTTTTTAAAAGTATAAAATACCCATTCCTACATATCTTATGAACCAAACTTGACCCACCACTACTTTCCGGGAAAAAAAAACTTGATCCACCACTAATATGCTATCATCACCCTTGATTTGCTTCTTTTCCCCCCTTCTTCTCTCTTTTTCTTTTTCTAACACAAGCACTCCATGGCCAGTCACACTTTGAATTGTTCCCCCGCAGCTCATGCCTCGACCTCCCTAGTCCCCACCTATGCACCATTTCTATTACTTTTTAGACAACATTGAGTAACAAATGAATTGAAGAATATGCTGAAGCCTAATTGTAATTGGCATTAGGGTTTGTTGTTATTGTGGAAGGAGATGTATGATTCAATGCGATGTGTTATTGATCATAAGTTGGGTAATAGGGTGGTGGTTAATGCTGCGTCTTGGGTTTTAGTGGTTTGGTGGTAGTGACTTGGTGGCATTGGGGGGTGATGTGGACTTTTTTTTTTTTTGGGGGGGGAGGGGGGGGGGGGGGGGAGGGAAGGGCTTCTTGCTAGGGTTAGGGGTGGAAGGGTCCTGTCAGTGTTGGGTTGGAATGGGGAGGTCTATCGAGGTTGGGGGTTGGATTTGGTGTTGGGGATGAGAGAGAGAGAGAGGTTTTAGGTCATTTTATCTGTGTATATGTGTAGTTAGTGATGCATTTTGGTCCACCCATCACCTCAGGAATTTGTGGCTATTTTTGAAGGTGAGTGGGTGATGTGCAGAGGGGCCGAACTACAAGGGGTAAAGTGAAATTTGCACTTATTTCGATTGTGACTTCCCTATTTTTTATGGTACAAGTTATGTAAAATCCTCATTTTGGTAGTCTTGTTAGATTGTGGGAGAATTTTGACGTATCTTGACCTTATCACGGAGGATTGTGTTTTTGCCTTACATATCTCTTTAACAGCTTGTATGTTTTTGTTCCACGTATTCTTTCCATGCTTTTACTTGAACTAATGTTGTATATTCCCTGTTCGAAATTTATGCTCCTAGTTTGATAGCCAAAGGTTTTTTTTTTGGATAAAGAATAGCTTTTCCTGGTTGTGTTTGCCCTTTTATTACAATTCTTTTAGCTTTTCCATACTTCATGCTGCTGGTAAAGTTTCTTCATGGGCCACTTTTGCTTTCTGTTTGTTTTCATTTTATGTTTACGTGTTCTCTGTCATGATCTCTCATGAGTTTTTTTATTTTATATTTTTTATTGTGGGTTGTTGATGGATGGAATCTTCCTAGATACAAGAATCAATAGAGAGTTTCGCGTTGTTAGAGACAACAGAACCAATCAAAATCCAAATAGAGAGACAAATCCTCCTTCAGTGCAGATTTTAATGCATGGAAATGAGCCAGTGATCTCCAATGCTTCTGAAAACAGGTACAACTACACGATTTTTATATGGTTTTTTTTTGTTCAGCATGCTCACACTCATTTTTCTGGTTTTAGATTGTCTTAAAATGCATACTACTTGCATATATTTTTGAGATATGTGGTTGTGTACTTGCTCATTTCTTTCTTTCTTATTATTATTTTTTTTTTGAGTTTTTTTTTTCGGGGGGGAAGGGTCTAAAATGAGCAAGGGTTCTGGGGTTATCAAGGTTGGTCGGGATTGGCAAGACAGTGTTATGTTGGGGTGGTTTAATCTCCCTGTTGTTTGGCCCAGCCCATTGGATTAAAATGCACATGCACATGCACATGCACATGGTTTCACACTCAGATCTACGGTTGTCTTGTGATGGGGACATTAAACGCCCTTGCCAAAAAGACACTAATATTTTTTGGTGACTGGTGTAATTTATAATGGAAACAACTGAGAAAACTCTCTCTACACTTTAATTGAGGAATCAACCAAAAAGAATAATAGTTCTTAAATCTAGATAGATGATTGTAGGGTTCAAGATGATTTTAGTTGATCAACTGTGACTCAAGTAAACAACCATGCAATTTTCAATTAATAAATTGCACAATAGTTATGCGATGAGCCCTTTTGTCTGATATGTGTCTAATGGAAATTATCTGAATAGTCTTTACTAGTGCATATTCTTAACTACTTTTTATGATTTTCCACTACTTAAAGGTTGTGATAAATTTGTCTACATGCATTGGAATCCTCATCGGACCCTAAATGGGAGCAAAGGAACGGATGCATCAAGTAGCATTAAGCAATATGTGTTTGTTCCATCTGGGCCTTGATCAATTCACTTTAAGCATCAAGTAGCATTAAGCAATATGTGTGTTCCATCTGGGCCTTGATCAATTCACTTTCTTACTTGAGTGGCCAAGTATCTAGGGGAGGTTATCACCATTGCATAGAGAGATTATTTGCTGAGCTTTTTCTTTGTCTTTGGTGCCCCTGTAAAGTTCTATTATGGCTGCCCAATCGGCTTTTAATTGGACTTTGCTTATCTTTTCTATCAAGAAAAGAAAATATTGCAGCTCTGGACGGCGGATTTGTTACTAGCCAAAAATACTCACTTAGAGCTTCTGATGTTCTTGGATTTCAGTTTTTGTCTAGCCAAACAAATTCCCATGGAATTTTTCCAAACTATTTGCATTGGAATATTTACATGTGCCGAAGGATCTTTCATTTTTCTTTTATGTTGCCACCTTCCATGTCAGTACCAATTTTGGAGGTTCATCATTGTTGTGATCTTCGTTCTGTTTTTCTTCATGTTTTGGTTTTTCAAGCTGTAGTTTTCTTTTGCTACTTGTGCCTGTGCAGAGACAATCTGAGTTTAATTTCTGTATTAGGTACCACATTTTCTAATGGAGAATACAGTGTTGATGATTACTGGATTTAATTATTTTGGAGTGCTAAATGTCATGGTGCTTGGTTGAGAATGCAGTGCCCTGAACCTGGTTTTTTTGTTGTATATTAAAATTAGCTTGTAGTGTTGTCTGCAAAATGACCAACTATCCTGTATTGATACATTTCTAAACTATGAAGATTAGGATTGCATCCACAAATACCCAGTCTTCTCTAGTAATTTATCTCTGCAATTCTTCAGTAACATAGTAATTATATATTGGCAAATGAAGTTATTCCCCTTCTATATGGGATTGCTATGTTGTTTTTGGTAGGTAGTCTCTGTTGTGCATGTATTATAAACAGATCGATTCATGGGCGTTTTCAGCAGTTTGACAGGGACTTCTGGCAATCAAAAGACCCCTGTTGGCCACCATTCATCACAATCTCTAAATGGGCCAACTGATTCGCAACCTAGGCAGGCCAGGGATGGTTTTTCAAGTGGTACTCATAGGAAAGAATTATTGGAGGCGAAATGGTCTTTGGTTCCAAATACGGTTTTGCGGGTGCAAGCTGCGAAGCCAAATGATTCTCAACCACATTCTATGATGTCATCGAACAACTCAGTGGTGGGCGTGTATCCATCTTCTTCAGATCCTGTTCATGTGCCGTCTTTTGATTCCAGACCAGCTGCTAATGTTGGGACTATCAAGCGTGAAGCTAGAGTCGTGGGTGTACGCCGTCAGCCTTCTGAGAATTCTGTGAAGTTTTCATCTGCACAAACCAGCTCTCTTTCGAATTCACCTAGGGGGCGGGAGGCCACCTCTAGAGAACCAATACGATACTTTACTTCCATTTCTAAAGGTGACCAACCCAGTCACACAGCCGTATCTGAATCAGCTGTTTCTAGCATGTCACTCACCAGACCGTTCTTGAGCAATCAATACAGTAGCAGACCACATCAGCAACCTTTGGGTCATCAGAAAGGTATGATCTTTCAACCTTGAGTATCTATGTTGGTGCGGTGTCATTTGGTTTTTTGTGGTCTGATCCCGTTGCCAAGAAGTTTAATTAGCTCTCATCTTTTAGTTGTTTATGAAATTGATAGTTGTAGTATTTGTTTTTCCCTGGTCTGATGCAGTTGCCAAGAAGTTTAATTAGCTTTCATCTTTCAGTTGTTTATGAAATTTGATAGTTGTAGTATTTTGTTTTTTCCTGGTCTGATGCAGTTGCCAAGAAGTTTAATTAGCTCTCATCTTTCAGTTGTGTATGGAATAAGATATAGTTGTAATATTTATTTCTTATTGAGATTTGTGTTAGACAGGTATTGGTTTAAATACACAGGGATGCGTTGTTGAAGATGATGATGGTTTAGAATTACAGCAAAAGGAACTTTCTGACCATCAAAAATCAAAATTACAAATTTATGGTTAAGATGGCAACTTCCTGCTGGCATACCTGTGTTCCCCCCTTTTTTTGCTATGCATATTATCCTTTTTCCTTAATCGGAGAAAAAAATATTCAGTTTTTGAAAGGTTACAACTTTCATAAAGGTGTTTAGGCAGCTGTGTGAGTCAATGAGTCAATGAATAGTTATGCAGTTGCCTGAGTTTGAATAGTTCTCAATTATTTTTATCCGAAAATAGTTGGAAGGATTTTGTTTTTGTTGTTTTACTGGTAAAAAACTATGATAAATGTATGTTTTGTGGTTAATCATCCAGAAAAGGAAAAAAATGTTAGTTCTACTAGCAAGTCTTGGCTGTATTTCCATCTCATATCTTCTAATATCTCATTTAATAATTGCACACTCCCATGCTATATTTGTTTTCAATGATTTAGGGGCTGTTTGATAGCGCCATTTAATGCATAAAATTGAATACTTTAAGCACTTAATGAATTAAATTCGTTTGGTAACCTAAAATTCAAACCACTTAACATATTAAGCACTCCTTAAAAATAGGCTAACATTTTAAATAGCAAGTCACCTACATTTCACTTAATGTTGAAAACATTAGTAAGGATTTTAGAATTTTTTTATAATGGACAAATATACTCTCAATGCATTTTACACTCTTAACTTTTCAATAACCACCACTACTAATGTGTTGCCACCACTATCACTACCATTGTGCCATCATCACCACCACTATTGTGCCACCGTCACCACCACCACCACCACCACCACCATTGTGCCGGAACCACCACCATCACCATTGTGTCACTATCACGACCACCAATACTGTCACCACCATTGCGTCGTCCTCGTCACCTCCACCTCCACCTCCACCTCCACCTCCACCTCCACCATTGTAATCGTGATGGTAGGAATAAAGTAGTTCTAATTTGTTTACTTTAGCTCCTTATATTTGTCAGACAATTTAATTTAATTTAATACTTAAATTTCATTGGGTACCAAAAACAGTCTATAAGTTAAAAATATTTAGCATTCAACATTTAAAATTCAATATTTAGCTTTTATTTTTATCAAACACCACCTTAATGGACATATGAATTGCTTTAGACATTCAAAATGTAGGTTGGTAGGTTATTTTTTGTTTGGTTTGGTTTGTGGGCATGTATGTGTTTTGATCGGTTTTTTTTTTTTAGGGGTGGGGGGCTCGAGGTAGGATGCTTATAAATCTTTATTTTTGATTTCTATTTCATCCTTGTGTGCGAAATTTGGGTCTCATAACGCCTTTGTGTTACCGGTGCCTCAAGCACTTTTGATCAAGAAATACCACGTCTATCAGCTGAAAGATTGCAATCTATGCTTGTAATATTTTTCTACACAGGTCATATAACTGACGATGAGCTTTTTTGTAGTAGCCCCCCAGCCTAATAAGGAATGGAAACCAAAGTCAAGCCAAAAAATAAGTGTTATTGGTTCCAGGGATATTGGAAGACCTGCAGAATCTGTTTCTCCACCTGCTGTTACTTCTAAGAATTCAGAAACAGAGGCAGCTCAGTTGCAAGATAAATTTTCACAAGTAAACATCTCTGAGAATCAGAACGTGGTCATTGCAGCACATATTCGTGTCTCTGAGACTGACCGCTGTCGCCTGACCTTTGGCAGCTTGGGAACCAAGTTTGAGTCTTCCAGGAGTTCAGGGCCTCGAGCAGTTTTGGATGTAGAAGAATCATCTGTTGAACCAGCTGCAAGGTTGGTTTCTTACATGGTTATATTACTAATTATCGGCAGTTGTGCATAGTGACAAATTTTTGTATGGAAATTTCTTTTAGTTCAAAAATTCCCTCGATTTATAAATTATTTTGATGTTTAATTATTTGTTATTAAGTTATAATTTGATTTTCCAAAATGTTCACAATCATTTGGGTTAGTATCTATTATAATCATGTGCTTTGTAATTCATTTTTAGAATAGTGGAAGAGGACCATTCACTTATTACAAACCCTAAATCCTCTCAGTTCTGATATCCTCTTTATGAATTTCATTGGAGAAAAACTTTACCGTAAGATATCCAAGCAATTTACTTGTGCTTGAAATGATATCCATGGTATAAATGGCAGGTTATCGGCATCTGCTTTAGAAAATTCTGGCGAAGAAACTTCTCGTAGCAAGCAGGTGGATGTAGTAGATGGCCATGTTCGAAATTCTGGATCCAATTCTCCCGCATCTGGTTCAGCATTTGAACATCAATTGGCTGATAACAAGGAATCTTCAAGTCAACAGAATTTGGACGACTATGCAGATATTGGATTGGTTCGAGACAACAGCCCATCCTATACTCTTTCAGAGTTGCAACATCAGCAAGATCCTCCTGAATTACCCAGTTTTTCAGTGAGTCCAATCCTCCGTTTTAATATACTTGAGCAGTTTGAGCTTGAAAAAGAGTGGTCTACTTGTGTTTGGGGTTGGCCTTTCGTGTTTGATATTGAGCTTTGTCTAAAATTTAGTACATTATATGGTCTAGCTTTTCTATTAGTCTGGTCTGGCACCATGATTTGTGGTGGTTTGCATGCAGGCATATGATCCTCAGACTGGTTATGATATACCATATTTCAGACCTACAGTTGATGAATCTGTCAGGGGGCAGGGTCTGCCATCTCCTCAGGAGGTAAATTTTAAAAGCCATAAATTCTCTCTCTCTCTCTCACACACACACACACCCCAATGCACACACGAACACGACTCTGCCATATGCACTTGAGATTGTCTTTTTTTTGTGCATTTGATATGCATTTGAGATTATTTGATTATCAGAGCAAGTGTTAATACAGTTTGATTATGTCCTTTTTTTAATGCACCAGCCAAAAACAATGTTATGTCCTACTATTATAATTACTGACTATTTAACAACTTCTCTTCACAGGCCTTAATCTCTCACGCAGCGAATAGCATCGCTGCATCAACAATAGCCATGATACAACAACCAGTGGCCCAGATGTATCCACAAGTTCATGTTTCCCATTTTGCTAATCTTATGCCATATCGTCAGTTCCTCTCCCCTGTTTATGTTCCACCGATGGCCATGCCTGGCTACTCTGGTAACCCTGCCTACCCGCACCCCTCAAATGGCAACAGTTACTTGCTGATGCCTGGAGGTAGCTCCCATCTGACTGCAAGTGGCCTGAAGTATGGAATGCAGCAATTCAAGCCTGTCCCCACTGGCAGTCCCACTGGGTTTGGAAGTTTCACGAGTCCAACTGGTTATTGTATGAATGCTCCTGGTGGTGTTGGTAATGCAACAGGACTTGAAGATTCATCTCGACTGAAGTACAAAGATGGCAATCTGTATGTCCCAAATCAACAGGTGAATCATATCTTGTTCTGTAGTTAGTGATTGATTTGTAATTTAATCCACATCATATAGACCCCTTTGATTGCGGTCGGTTAGCCTTTCATACCTCTCAAAGCTTTTGTTGAACTCTAGAATTGATTTCCAGCAATGTAGAACCTGCATTATACCCTAGATCTTTGTGTTGGATTATTGCCTCTCTTTTCCTGATATGATTTCACATTGGAAGTTAGTTTCTGTTTGTTTTGATTAAGTGGTCGTGCCTAAAAAAGTACTTATTTTTAGATTTAGTGCTAATTGTATGCCATAAAAGTGCATGAGAGGTGATTGCATGTTTATTGCCCTTTCTTTTGCACTTCTTAGTTAGCCTATATAAGTTGTGAACCATTTATACATTGTTTTTGTTGAATACATTGTATAGAAAATTGATTACCATTCTCTATATTCCACTGACAGGCTGAGACATCAGAAATATGGATGAATCCGAGGGATCTTCCTAGTTTGCAATCAGCTTCATACTACAACATGCCGACACAAACACCTCATGCTGCATATTTGCCATCTCACACCGGCCACGCATCTTTCAGTGCAGCAGCTGCTGTAGCACAATCTTCTCATATGCAGTTCCCAGGCTTGTACCATCCTCCTCCACAGCCTTCTGCAATTGCCAGTCCTCATCATATGGGCCCTGCTATGGGTGGTAATGTTGGAATTGGAGTTGCTGCAGCGGCTCCTGGAGCCCAGGTTGGTGCCTATCAGCAACCTCAATTGGGTCACCTGAATTGGACAGGGAACTTCTGAAACATTTTCAATCTGGGTCCTTTTCTTGTAAGGATTGAGTTTAGATGTAAAAGCTCTTTTGGTTTTCTTTGTGGAATGAGAACGCCTTCTTTTCTAATCAATGCATAAAATTGTGTTGAAATTTTTGGTTTGGCGTCCGCAAGGAGCTGTTATACCTCTCTAGTGGTTAGAGTCAAATCGGCGAATGTTATGTTGGGCGTTGTGTGGTGATGGCCTGTCTTCTGTCTTAGATTCAAGTGGTTCTGAGTCTCTGACATTGCACTTAAATTTAGGTTGGTGTCAATTCGGTACACATTAGAACCAAAGGATTGGTTTAGGAAACCAAGAGCTTAAAGCAATTAGGATGGACATAGATTTTGGTGCCTTCAAAAACCAATGCGGTCTCAAGTTACTAAGTTCAAGGTGGGAAGCTCATGTCATCTGACGGGAAGAAAACTGCACGTGCCAATCGAACCGACAGGTAGTAAGAGGAGGGGGGTATTGGCAGGCGTTCACTGGCTCCTTTCAAGTGTTACTTATTAAAATTTATTAATTATTGGCGCTCGTGCACACTGCCACTGAATGTCAATAGTCTCTCTCAAGCAAGGGAGCTTTTTGGCCCACTTCCATAACTCTCTTGAATAATATACGACCATCATTTGGCAGTTTTGGAGTCCTCAACGACCACAATTTTAATTTTATATTAATTGATGCATATCTATATTATATGTAAACCATTATACAAACTAAATATTATAAATTAAGGGTGAAGCTATTTTCACCCCACAAATATTTATTCTTACTCTATTTAATTTCTCATTATTAAAGTATTAAATTCATCCTTTCTATACCCGCCTCGTTAGTAACTAAACCCACCTCATATTACATACACCCTTTTTAATAAGTAAAATTACTTTATATTTTGTCATAATTAAGGTTTCATTCTCTATCCCATCTTATGCATTCACAAAAACACTTTTTCAATTTGAATTTTTTCAGTATGATACATGTTAAATATTACTTATCAATTTAATTCTATGTTTGATTTCATGTTTGTTAAATAGATTTTCATTATTTTCGGTATGTTTTAATATTTCTGTCAAGTTTAATAATTTTGTATTTAGAATTTATAAGTGTGTATATATATATGTATTCTTTCAGATTATTATTATTTATTTATCTTGTTAAGGTTTTGTATCTGTGCTTGTTATATTTTTTTTCATACTCGGTTTTGAGCCTTATAGTTTTGTTTGTTCATTTAATCTTTACTTGTTTTTTTTCCATTCTTGTTTCGATTTGCTTATTTCTTTCTGTTTTTTTTCTTATTTCGTTCTTTTCTGTTTTCTTGTGAGTGTATAAGATGAGATAGAAAATAAAACTCTAATTATGACAAAATATAAAGTGAGTTTACTTATTAAAAATGACGTATGTAACATGGGATGAATTTTGTTACTAATGGGGTGGGTATAGAATGAGTGGACTTAGTAATTTGATAATGAGAAATTAAATGGGGGTGAGAATAGAGATTTGTGAAGTGGGAATAGCCCCACTCATAAATTAAAGTTTTGCACCCTTTTCTTAGAAATCCACATCTATAGAAAAAAATTAACAATTAATTAGTTAATAATCAAGTTTTAAAATAAAATCACAAAAATATAAGCTAAAATAAAGTTATTTCGTTCTCGTTTATAATTAGCTATAATCATGAAGTTTGTAACATGCTCAAGAGAGAGACACAATGAATTCATGACATATCTTGTCCTCATGATAAAAAATAATTAAGACAAAAGCTCTATATGTGGACTATACAAAAAAGTTAACAACATGTTTAAGAGAGAGACATTATTGACGAGCCCAAATCTAACTGGACCTGTACCCAGACCATGGGTTAATCTAAAATGATCAAAAAGGCCAGACCTAGTTCATGGCTTGAGTCTAGCTTGAATCTCACGAGTTTAGGAAGAGTCAACGTACATGAGAAAACGATCACTGAGATAGCCATAACTCCGAGATAATACCTATCTCTAATCGTAGCTAACTTCCTTGGAAGATTAGTAGTTTGACCTTCATGTCATCGCCTTATCTCGGGCTCTGTACCTATAAATTGTAGATCCCTTACACGGGGGACATACATTCTACACCTTGAGTATACTTTTACTCTTGACTAAGCAGTTCATGTCTCGCTGTGGTATCCATGATTAAATCGATTTTGTGAAATGGATAACTATCCTTAGGGTAGGCACGATTCAAGTTTGTAAAGTCAATACAAAGGCATCATTTGCCATTAGTCTTCTTTACGATGATCACGTTGGCCAGCCAGATTGGGTAATCCACCTCCCTAATGGCCTCGACGTGGAGGAGTGATCCTCTACATGTCTTATTGTTTTCAAGCAAAAACCTCGACATTTGGCTTTAGAAATTGAATGAGGAGGTGTTTGACTTCCTTGAGCAACCTTGATCTGATATATACTAGGTGCTCTAGGTTATCATCCAGTTGGACAGGTTCTAGCTCTTCCGAAGGTGTAGGCATTGTGTCTAGGTCATCCCTCATGTCGAGCTCATCCAATTGTATGGTTTCGACCTTTTTTTTCTTCATAGACGCTATGTAACACTCCCTTGCCACGCGTTGATCTCCTCGGACCAATCCCACATTATTTTCAGTTGGGAACTTCATGACAAGGTGGTAAGTTAAGGGAATAGCTACCTTCAAATGTCGTGCATGTTTGCCTTGCATGATCCTTGCCATTTCTTTGTAACCGACACTTTCTTTGCGCAATCAGCATGGACAATGCTAAGGTGGTTGTGGCTCACTTGTCAGAATGTTGGGCCGTTGCGATCTATACGTAGCCTTCTGGTAGGTGTCAATTGTCACTGTCATCGTGCCCACGAGGACCTTGTTGTTGAAGGTCTTCGACTTGCACATCCCTTGTTGCTTATCATGAGCCATTAGTCTGAGGTTAGACGCCTGACCTGAATAATTCGAATTCAACCTTAGCCAATTTTATGGTATCATCAATAGGTTTTATGGCTAATAACTCTGTAGGCTTTCCAAATCATACATTGATTTCTGAAAGAGTTTTGGGAATTATTATTTCTTGACCGACTTTCTTAGCTAATTCCTTTATATCTATAAACTTTTCCTTTTTTTCCCTTTGAAATAATTTTCTATAAATTTTACTTCTTCGTCTTAATTTTATGTTATTTCTTTAATTTCAAATAAGGTCTTCGCTTGTTCGATGATTACTGCTATCAACCAATTTATTTGATTGATATGTATAATAATGTTATCAGACGCCCTTTCTGTGGATATTTTATATCCACCTAAGTAGTTGGAATTTATAGAAGTCACTATTTTATTAACTTTTTCTCCAAATTTCATATTCTTTTATCTAAACTTTTGATCAAAGGTTTTAGTTTGTTTTGAACTTGAAGTATTGATTTTACAAATTATTCTGTTCTTATTTTTGAAGGTTGCGGGTGATCTAGGTCAAATTCTAGAATTTTAACTATATTTTCTATTTCAGTAGTTTTTATTCTTAATTTTTCAATTATTTTATCACTAAAATATTTATTACTAGTTTCAATTTTACTTAAAACTTATGATAATTGATCTTTAGTTGGATAGTTACTTTGATGTCTAAGAATCAAATCAAATCTTCTGAAGTTTATCAGCATCGATAAATTGACTATTTAAAAAGAGTAATATTATTAAGACATAATTTATGGATATAATTTGGAGACATAATGAGTTGTCACCAATAATATAATAATAAATTTATTTTATACTACAATGGGACCCATCATTAATTGTTCCTATTTATTTTTTTAATTTATTTTTCAAGGTTTTGTTGATCAACACTTGCTTCTAATTTTTCTTCAATAATTTTATGTCTTTCAGTTATTATATTTAAATGATTTTCTTTAGAATTATTTTTTAAGTGGATGAACAATTCTTTTAGTAAAGGTAGTAATTCTACTTTAATTTTAATTTTTTTGTTTCTTTAATAACTTGCTTGTTATTAATAATTCGATTTATGAAAATATTTCTTATTTAGGGCCCGTTTAATTAGGAAGAAAGAGATAGAAAGTAAAGTGAAAAAAAATATATTTGAATGCATGCATTTAGTTAACATGAAAAATTTCTAAGAAAATTTGAAAATAATTTCATTCCATTGTGTGAAAGAGTAAAGTTGCAAGAAATTTTTTATAATAATTAAATTATTCTTAATTATTTTAAATCTATCTAAAGAATAAAAAAATATTTTTTATTATTTAAATTTTAAAAATATTGGCTCCTAACCTAATTCAGTGACAAAAATCAACTTAAACTCTAATCTCTATATTAAATTATATGGTTAACTTAATTTGTACAAATTTTTTTAAAATTAATAACTAATTGAATATTTTAAGGGATATAAGGATAATATGAGAATTTAGGTTATTGAATATAACTTTCTTGCTTTTCCTGTATATTTTGCAAGAAAAAAAAATTAGTTAGATGTGAAAAAATTTAAGCACGAAAGAAAATTTTTTCTATTATTTTTTATTTTATGCTAAATAAACATATATAAAATTTTAAGATTTTTTTTTATTGTATTTTTTAGCATTATCTTGTTAAACAAACATACCCAAAACTTTGATACCAAGTTAATAATGACCGAATGTATTTTGGTTCGAGTTTATCTATTTTTAAAATATTATATATTAACTGAGAATATGGTATAAATTATTAATAAAACATTATATATTCGTTGAGAATAATGTACTCTATCTATAAATGTTGTTTACAGAAACACATTGAAGACTCCTCTCTGTCTCTCTCTCTCTCATCACTACTCAGTCAGGCGTGTCGTCTGGCTTTCATTGATCTCTATCCGAAATACTTTTCTTTCTCTCAACCACCAAACCCACGTCAATGACCATCGTCTCCTCGATTTCCTTCCCATTTCGCTTTCTCTGATGGCAAGACATCACCAACACTGCAAGAAAAGCCTTTGCTGTTGAGATGTGTGTGGATAGTTCTGAAGTCTCTCACATGATCCTGTTTGCCTCATTAATCAACCTCTCTTTTTTTGCAGCTTTTGACTCTCTCGAAGCAGACAAGAAAGTGACTGGAGTACCATTGATCACAAACTCTTCTAGTGTTCCTGGAAACTATTCTTTTGTTGATTGTTGCTCTGCAAAAATCAACTATAAAGACATGGATAGGTATCAATACCGACAAGAGAGAGAAAACCCATCTTTCTCTTCGACACTACTCGATGCGATCTATCGTTCCATTGATGAAGGAGAAGAAGAATTAGTCCTTTACAGAGGGAGCATGAGGAAGAAACAGAGTAATTGTACTGTGAAAGGGAATGGTAATTCTCAGCCTCACGTTGGGGAAGATAATAAAATGGCCAGTTTTCAGCGGGCTTACATGATCGAGAAATGGACGGAGAGGAAAGTGAGTGAAAAGGTGGCTGTTCGCCGGAAATCATCTCCGGCGGATATTGAAAGAAAATGGGGAAATGGGCCGGATCCGGTGTTGTTGAATCGGAGCTCGAGCTCCTCCTCCTCAGATTCGAGTTCTGGGAGAGGATTCTCATCTTCAGAGGCTGAATCTGTGCATGGGTTTTTATCTTGTTATGATGCCATTGCCATGCCTAGGCCAAAGCCTATTCGAACAGGCGTTTCAGCCCAGCATCGCCATAACGAGCAGAGAGATCATCAAGTTTCACAACCAAAGCCAAAGCATGATGGAATTGCAGGAGGAGGTTTCGTGAAGACAAAGTCGAGAGCTTCAAAGATCTATAGCGATCTCAAGAAAGTTAAGCAACCAATCTCCCCAGGTGGCCGTCTTGCTACTTTTCTCAACTCTCTTTTCAGTGCTGGCAAGCGAAACGCAAAGAAAGCTAAGATTTCTTCCGCCACTGGAGGTTGCTACGATGAGTCGTCGTCGGCCTTGGAAAGAAAATTGAAGTCTGCAAAGAACGCATCGACATGTTCGTCAGCTTCCTCATTTTCAAGATCATGTTTGAGCACCACTACTACTACTACTACATCAGCTTCCAGGGAACAATTAAGCAGTATTAATGCCACAAAAAGGTCGGTGAGATTCTTTCCGGCGAGTGTGATTGTTGGTGAAGATTGTCGACCATGTGGACATAAATCTCTGTATGAAGAAGATGACCCAAGTCATGTACTACAATTACAGTCGTTGAAGGCTAACAGAAAGGAAGAGCTTCTCAAGTTTCATTATCATAACATGGCCCAGAAAAAAAACTGCCGAGTTGGAGTTGGAGAAGCTGCAACCGCAAGGGATGTTCTTTTATTAAAGAATTATGATCAGAAGATGGTTGAGAACGAGTTTCATACGAGAAATGCCTATTTCAACACTACTGAACAACTAATGGACGATGAAGACGAGGACGCCGCAAGTTATGCTAGCTCTGATCTCTTTGAGCTTGATAATCTTTCTGCTATTGGGATTGATAGGTATCACCAAGAACTGCCCGTGTATGAAACTACCCGTTTAGATGCGAATCTGGCCATTGCTAATGGCTTGATTTTGTAATTCCAAACATAAAGTTACTACTTTAATTTGTTTAATTATGGTTGGGGGATCTATTTACATCACCAGATATAAAAACTCTCTCTCTCTCTCTATGCCATTTTATTTTGCTTGATTATATTATTGTTTTCTTAAAGAATTTTTATCAATGACCAGAAAAAGAGTGTGGAATGATCATACATATATGTATACGAAGAAACTGAAGTTTCTGACTTTTGAGTTCACTTTCTCACACGCGAAGATGATGAGGTAAAAGCAAATCAAAGGCAGGCAGATCTTCTTCCCTCTCCAGTTCTCATTTATGAGGAATTGAAGATGAAATGTTCAAATATAGAGGAGAAATTTTAGGCTTTTTCTTTTTCTTGTTTTGCTGGGTCCCCTACTGCTTCAACAAGGTTTTGATTCAATGACGTAGTTGTTTTTTTTAACCTTTAATTCGGTGGTAAGAGAGAGATGGTGAATACAGGAATGATCACCAAGTGAGAAAGTGAAGATTAAAGATGGATGTTGGTCTCCAAAAGCTAACGACACAAAATCTAGTGTTTGATCTTTGCTGTGGGGACAAATTAATCTTTAATGACTTACCAGGGAAATGATATCATGTTTTCTACCCAAGAGTAATGTTATTGAGATTAAAAACAATGATCTAAGAGCTTGATTTGTCAAACTTGTTTTGGTTCCTGAGGGTTTTGTCTCTCTTGTTTGAATCAAATCAATATGCAAACTTATACAACGTCCCCTTTTGACCTTTAACACCTTTGTTGCATTATTAAGCATCGCATACAACATAATAGGAACGAGTTAAATAGCAAAATAGTTTTTATATAGCTAAAAATAAGGTGTTTAAATTTTTGATTATCTGTAAATTTCAATCTTATCCTACCTTATATGATCTTATTGATCATCTACCCGAAAAAATTGGGTAAACCAATAAAAAATCTCTTGGTATTCGAAATAATAATTAATTTGTGCTTTATAGTGTGATGAACAAGTTTAATCTTGTTCTGAATGGTCATCATCAGATGATAAATTACTTATTTCATTAATATTACATAATTTTTATTCAAAACATGAATTATCAGAATACTTTCTTCGCTTTCTGAATTTAAAACTATATTTAAAATCTTGTCTTTAAGATCTTCATCGAGTATTAATTCATTTATTTTTTATTTAGTGAGACATTTAGGAGTAACATGTCCTAATTTTTTACACTTAAAGCATTTAACATCTTTTTACCATTTGCTTTAGGTTTTTTAGTATGTTTATTAATTTTATCATTTTCATAATTCCTTTTATGGAATTTTCTTCTTTTCTTATAAGTTTTTCTTTTAGTTAAAGATTTATCTCTTGAAATATCGAGATTATATACAAATTCATTATAGAATTCTCCTACATCTTTTCGACCAATTAATCTGTGTCTTTTAAGTTAAGTCTTGAGATTTAAGTCATTATAGAGAACTAATTATTGTGACATGTATTCAGAAATTGAGTTTTCGTAAGTGTAGATTTCATAAGAGATTTTAAATCCTTCATGTCTTTGTTTTAAATAAATCATTATTTTTTCAATTATAATAAATTAAATAAATAAATTAAATTAATAAATTATGACTCAATAACATTACTTTTTTTGACATATAAGACATCCAAGAGAGACTTGGGAGAACCACGAAATCATAACAGTATGATTTGCTAATTAAGAAAGCATATTAAATGCTCAACTCACTTGTTATATAGCAAATTATAAGGTTATGAAACTTCAACTGTAGGAAAAGAAAAGGCCACCCTATGGTCAAAAGCAGTGTCTTTAAACAAGCACCAGACCGGCCGGTCAATCCTTAAAATCGAACCGGTCCAACTTATTATTTTGATCGTTCATGTATAAGAACTGTCAGAGACTGGAACTACCCGACGGTTTTCATTAAACCCGCGTGGACAAGACATTAGGACCCAATCAGTCACCTCACTTACAGAATTGTTCTATTATTGAGTATTTTATCTATCAATGCAAATCCAATTTATTTACTGGCTTACCCCCAAAAATGGTATATGAATGAAAATTGATAGCTTTTTTTTTTCAAAATTTTTCTTTTTTTTTATGGGAGGAAGAAAGGGATCTTGAATCCTTGTCCTCAAGAAAATAAAACATTCACAAAATAAGAAATACCATTAAACCAAAGATCCGTCGATAATAAAAATTGATAGCTTGTTTCATTTCAATTCAGCAAATTTATGTGTTATGGAGTAGCAATAGATTTTACTACATATATTATTTGAATTGAAAATATCATTCTTTTCAATTTATTTATCAAATTACAATAGTTTTCATGAAAAGCGCAAATTGAACCATCCTTTTTAGTGAGAAAACATTCTCGAAACATGCTTTCAAATTCTTCTTTTTTTTCTTTTTTAAAGTGTGGCTTCAACCCATTTTTTTTTATAGAATGTATTTTAGTTTGATAAATAAGATAAGAGATAAGAACAACTCTTTTAACATACCCAACCCAGAAAATAAACTTTAGGTTAGAATATACTAAAGCTGTATAATGTAAATCATGCAGTATTATCCCACGCACTTGCAGCGGTATATGATCATGCTCATGCATGCCCGTTAACTTAAAAAGTAGTTGTGTGAGACCTTTTGTGTGCTGAGCTTCATCCTTTGGTTTCACACCATTTTCTACTTAATCTTCGTTGCTTATATACGGAGTCATTTAGACAAGCTGGAGAAACAAAAAAAAAAAAGAAAACGAAAGGAAACGATTGGCATGCTAAGAGCATCCCAAGGGGTTTGTGTTATATTATGCGTGCCAATTCTTCTTAAATTCAAGCTTATCAACTCATGATTATTTAATCTAATGCAGTCATAAAACTCAGTCACCACATTGTAAAATTCAGTTATCCTCTCCATCAACCCTGACCCCACTCATCTGCATGGTTTCATCACCATTAGCGTTTTGACATTCGTAACTGTACACCAGAGAGATGGCTTACCTCACGCTGTTGGGTCTGTTTACTGAATCCTCCATGGTGTATCCATGTGAAATCAAATGGGTTCTCTTTTGGCAAGCTAGGATGACACAGAAAGTAATGTTACATTACAGGGCGGGGGTGAGAGAAAGAAGAGACAACGATGGCAGCTTTTAATCGTAAAAGTAAAGAGGTAATTGGTTGCACAAAAAAAGAAGAGGAGGAAAGTGAGAATTCTGGGCGATCCCAAGAAGGTTGTCATCTAACTGTTAAATATCACCTTTTCTTCTCTTTTGATCTGCTGGAAGAGAAAGACAGCAGGAATAAAAAAAAGGACTAGATTATATCAATGAGAGTTTATACAAGGACGGATTTAAGATTTAATTATAAGTGAGAATTTAACTCTTGAAGAAGACTCTAGGGAGCAATTGTAAAAAAAATAAAATAATGTAGCATAATCCAACCAGATAATCTCTGACAGAAAAAAAAATATAGGAAAAACGAGAATGATGTATATCTAAGTCAAATAGCCTTAATTACATCATGGGGTTCAATTTTAATCTTCAATTTGTACGGGTATGTTGGGTTCTACTATCGTTTCATATGGTCATCTATTATATTGAAATGTAAATTCATTCGCGACGAAGAAGATGTGGTCCGTCAACTGTCACAGAGTTGTTTCAATAAAGTTGTGCGGTATGGTAGAGAAGACTCCAATCATATTGAAAGGCAATTGCAAATGAGGTTTTGCCATGATCATTTTCAGCCAAGTCTTCAGTTAGGTGTTGATGGTAATTGATTTAGAAGTTGAGTGTACTTCAAAAAAAGCCACCGACGACTTTCATGGCTGCTTGCATGCTCGCCCTCTACCACTCATTGTGCCTCTTATTATGGTCTACCGTCTATGCCTAGCTATCTGAGAATTACATGTACATTCTTTGAACGTAGACATGGGAAGTGCTATATATAGTGTGGGGAATTAGGCATTTATCTTTCACAGCTAGGGAAATCTTACCATGCCCGTAGCTAGCTAGATACCATGCATGTTCCTGAGGTATCATTGTGTGACATAATACACTGGGATGCAAGAGTACAACAACTTAGCCCGAGGACAAAAGGATATAGGGTATTCAAATTTCAAAAAATGAAAAGGGAAGGAACTTATGTATAGTGTGAGAGTGTTCATAATTTCATATCTAATAATTCTATTACGAGAATGATTTTTCAAACTTGAGGGTGAGACCAACAAAACCCAATCCACCATTACTTAGTAAACTACTAGTCACATTATTCCTCTTGATTTCAGGCCGATTATGCACTTACAATCATCTGCGCTAAAAAGTGCACAATTGAAGTATAATGGCTTCTTCTTCTTCTTCTTTTTTCCAACTTATCGTTTTCTGCTTTTTGTCTAGGTAGGCAGGCTGTGGGTGCTTTATCAAGTAACCTTGTCAAGTTGAAGTCCAAGTAGTAGGTTGAATCTTAGTATACTTGCGTGATGTTCAAGTTAGAGAGACTGCATACTAATGTATGGCTGTCAACAATGGATAGAAGCCTTATATTCATAATCTAGTTCCACCAGCTATCTGTAGGTTAGGATAGTATTAATTGTTTTAGGTCTTTATTCAAGTGCGGGGTGGTAGGGACCGTCGGCAGTGGAAATTTTTTTCCCCACTTTTTCCATTCCCCCCCCCCCCCCCCCCCAAAATGAAGTGAGAATAACAACTCGATAGAGATGTGGATGTCAATTATGTGTTCTAAAGATGTACAGTGGTCGTAGCTGCAGCTAGTGTCACTGTGAAATACACACAGTGAAATTAGGCAGGTCGAATTGTTAAACTAGCTAGTTAGCTACTAGAGTGTTGACTTTGAGTTATCTTAAAGATTTTCAAAGCTGTATCTGTCTGTTGGCGAATCCGATGGACCATCCTTTTAAAAATCTGAAAATGAAGGTTGCATTTGATGTTTGGCGAGAGTATACGTGTACTTGACTAAACTGGTCTCCACTTGGAATACGTTAATTACGCCGCCATCTCTAACCATAACCTAAATTTTTACTCAAATTAGAATCAAAAAATGAATTTGAC